AATATTTATTTATTGAAAATCAAATGTCAATATTAAAGTGTGTATTTTTATTATTAACATAAATGGTTTTAATTAAACTACTTGCCAATGGAAGGAAGTACTGGAAAATTTAAAACTTTTACAAAAACACTTAATAATGATCTGCAATTAATGAAAAATATAAGTGCCTCTTAATTGCTTTCTAATACCCTCATCATTACAGATCAGTTCCTATTCAATAACATAAATCAATCAATAGTCAATCAGTTTATAGTCACTCGATAGTCAGTCAATATTCGAGACTATAGATCAGTCTATAGTCAAGATTAAAGATCTGTCTATAGTCAAGGCTAAAGATCAGTTTGTAGTTAAGACTAAAGATCAGTCTATAGTCAATACTATGTTCAGCCTATAGTCATGACTTTAATCAGTCTATATTCAGGACTAAAGATCAATCCATAGTCAAGACTATTGATCGGTCTACAGTCAGCACTATAGATCTGGCTATAGTCAAGACTATAGAAAGGTCTATAATCAGTCTATAGTCAAAACTATAGACTTGATTACAGTCCAGCCTATAACTAAGTCTCTAGATCAGTTTATAGTCAAGTCTTTACATCAGTTTATAGTCAAAACTATACTTAGGTCGTTCATTAGTCAGGACTATCGATCAGTCTATAGTCAAAACTATAGATCAGTTAATAGTCGAGACTAAAGATAATTTTTTAGTCAAGACTAGAAGATCAGTTTATAGTCAAGACTATAATCAGTCTATAGTCAAGACTTTAAATCATTCGCTTTTCAAAACTAGAGATCAGGCTATAGTCAAGACTAATTATCAGTATATAGTATATACTATAGATAAGTCTATAGTCAAGACTACTGACCAGCCTATAGTCAAGAATATAGATCCTTCTAAATTCAATATTATAGATCAGTCTATAGTCAAGACTATTGACTAGCCTATAGTCAAGACTATAGATCTGTCTACAGTCAATATTATTGATCAGTCTATAGTCAAGACTATAGTCAATATTATAGATCAGTCTAGAGTCAAGGCTAAAGATCAGTTTGTAGTCAAGACTACAGATCAGTCTATAGTCAATAGCCATGACTATAATCAGTATATATTCAGGACTAAAGATCAGTCCATAGTCAAGGCTACTGATCGGTCTACAGTCAGTATTTAGATCTGTCTATAGTCAAGACTTTAATATATAGTCAAGTATATAGTCAAGACTATTGACCAGCCTATAGTCAAGAATATATATTATTCTAAATTCAATATTATAGATCAGTCTATAGTCAAGACTATAGATCTGTCTACAGTCAATATTATTGATTAGTCTATAGTCAAGACTATAGTCTATAGTCAATATTATAGATCAGTCTAGAGTCAAGACTATAGTGCAGTCTATAGTCAAGTCTCTAAATCAATTTATAGTCAAGTCAAATCTATAATCAGGTCTATAGATCGGTCATTATTTAAGTCTATAATTAAGTTTATAGTCAAGATTGTACTTAGATCAGTCTATAGTCAAGATTACTCTTAGATCTCATATATAGTCTGAATGTAATTAGTAATAATGCATTATGCACAGATTCATTGTAATTCTCATTTAGTTAAGAATATTTTTACTTCTCTAAGTACAAAATCAAATGATCAACTGCTAGATAAAATCATGAAACGATTTCACTAAAAAATATAACTAACATTTTTCTAATTTCGACAACGATATAACTACTCAATTGGTAATCAAAATCAACTACATTAAACACAATATTATCATGAATTGTATTTAATTTTATTACCTAATGATTTTTCATTTAATTGAATACAAACAATTAGAAATGAATTAAATGATTAGTGAATAAAACAATTAACTCGATTAGTCACGAGAAAAAAAAAACTGCCATCAATACTATTTTAATAAATCAAAAAACTAAAATTTATTAAAAACAATTTCAACACCACATTAAAATAAAATAAAACTAACGAGAAAAAGAAAATTATAGTCTTCCGTAAACAAATTTGATGCAAAAATAAAAACTAAATTAATTGCATGAATTAGAGAAAACAAAACGAGGAAAAACAATCGTGTTGGAAAAAACACAATTGATTTATTTATAAATAAATTAACTAAGAATAAGATAAACAAGTAATTAAAATTTTTAGAACTTAATAAAAGATTTGAAAGATAATAAAATTTAAAAATAATTAAATGGCGCATCAAAAGGTTATATAATCTGGAATAGACTTTATTATGAAATATGGAATATAGAATGGTCTATAATCGGGACTATAGAACAGTCTATAATCTGGAATATAGAATATAGAACAGTCTATAGTCTAGACTGTAGAACAGTCTATAGTCTAGACTGTAGAACTGCCTACAGTCTCGACTATAGAACTGTCTATAGTCTGGACTATAGAACTGCCTATAGTCTGGACTATAGAACTGTCTATAGTCTGGACTATAGAACTGCCTATAGTCTGGACTATAGAACTGTCTATAGTCTGGACTATAGAACTGTCTATAGTCTGGACTATAGAACTGTCTATAGTCTGGACTATAGAACTGTCTATAGTCTGGACTATAGAACTGTCTATAGTCTGGACTATAGAACTGTCTATAGTCTGGACTATAGAACTGTCTATAGTCTGGACTATAGAACTGTCTATAGTCTGGACTATAGAACTGTCTATAGTCTGGACTATAGAACTGTCTATAGTCTGGACTATAGAACTGTCTATAGTCTGTACTATAGAACTGTCTATAGTCTGGACTATAGAACTGTCTATAGTCTGGACTATAGAACTGTCTATAGTCTGGACTATAGAACTGTCTATAGTCTGGACTATAGAACTGTCTATAGTCTGGACTATAGAACTGTCTATAGTCTGGACTATAGAACTGTCTATAGTCTGGACTATAGAACTGTCTATAGTCTGGACTATAGAACTGTCTATAGTCTGGACTATAGAACTGTCTATAGTCTGGACTATAGAACAGTCTATAGTCTGGACTATAGAACAGTCTATAGTCTGGACTATAGAACAGTCTATAGTCTGGACTATAGAACAGTCTATAGTCTGGACTATAGACCTGTCTATAGTCTGGACTATAGAACTGTCTATAGTCTGGACTATAGAACTGTCTATAGTCTGGACTATAGAACTGTCTATAGTCTGGACTATAGAACTGTCTATAGTCTGGACTATAGAACTGTCTATAGTCTGGACTATAGAACTGTCTATAGTCTGGACTATATACCTGTCTATAGTCTGGACTATAGAACACTATAGAATATCTATAGTCTGGACTATTGAAGAGTCTATACTATAGAACAGTCTGGACTATAGAACTGTCCATAGTCTGGACTATAGAACTGTCTATAGTCTGGACTGTAGAACTGTCTATAGTCTGGACTATAGAACTGTCTATAGTATGGACTATAGAACAGTCTATAGTCTGGACTATAGAACTGTCTATAGTCTAGATTATAGAACTGTCTATAGTCTGGACTATAGAACAGTCTATAGTCTGGACTATAGAACAGTCTATAGTCTGGACTATAGAACAGTCTATAGTCTGGACTATAGAACAGTCTATAGTCTGGACTGTAGAACAGTCTATAGTCTGGACTATAGAACAGTCTATAGTCTGGACTATAGAGCAATCTATAGTCTGGACTATAGAGCAATCTATAGTCTGGACTATAGAAAAATCTACAGTCTGGACTATAGAGAAATCTATAGTCTTGACTATAGAGCAATCAGTAGTCGGGACTACAGAGAAATCTATAGTCGGGACTATAGAACAGTCTACAGTCTGACTATAGAAAAGTCTACAGTCTGACTATAGAAAAGTCTATAGTCTGTACTATAGAACATTCTATGGTCTGGACTATAGAACAGTCTATATTCTGGACTATAGAACTGTCTATAGTCTGGACTATAAAACAGTCTATAATCTGGACTATAGAACAGGCTATAGTCTGGACTATAGAACAGGCTATAGTCTGGACTATAGAACAGGCTATAGTCTGGACTATAGAACAGGCTATAGTCTGGAATATAGAACAGTCTATAATCTGGACTATAGAACAGTGTATAGTCAGAACTATAGAACAGTGTATAGTCAGGACTGTAGAACAGTGTATAGTCAGGACTATAGAACAGTGTATAGTCTGGAATATAGAAGAGTCTATAGTCGATACTATAAAACAGTCTATAGTCGGTACTATAAAACGGTATATAGTCGGGACTATGGAACAGTCTATAGTCGGGACTATGGAACAGTCTATAGTTGGGACTATAGAACAGTCTATATTCGGAACTATAGTACAGTCTATATTCGGAACTATAGAACAGTCTACAGTCTGGACTATACAACTGTCCATAGTCTGGACTACAGAACAGTCTATAGTCTAGACTATAGAACAGTCTATAGTCAAGACTATAGAACAGTCTATAGTCAAGACTATAGAACAATCTATAGTCTAGACTATAGAACAGCCTATAGTCTGAACTATAGAAGTAAAATCAAATCAATATTTTCCAAACATCTTCATAAACCATTATTGGGGTGTAGCGTACCCAAAAACGGGAAATTTTTTTAAACTAAAAACTCCAACCAAACAACAAAACAATAATCAATTAAAGAAGATTTATCAATTTAAATTACAAACAATTGAAAGTAACAATGATTTATATCACAGACGTGAGTCACGTTTAAAATTTCGCCTGTAACGTGCAAAATTGTATTCAAATTTCGCTGAACGGCTTATTTAATTTGCCATCGTTTTTCTCAGTTAAATCCAAATCATCATTAGAACGTAAATTTTATTTAATATTAATAATAGTGTGGCATTTATTAAAAAAAATACATATAAAATTTCAAGGTGAATAATCATATAGAATTGTTGTTGTTTTATTTGTATTTTACATATTTATTCACACACTTTTGTCACAAAAAACCCAAAAATAAAAAGAAAGAAGCAATAAATAATTTAACCACCTAAATATATTTGTTTTTTTGTATTCATCTACAAATTCTTTCAAAGCACGTCACTTTATGTTTTTTTTTTTTTTTTTTTGTATATAATCTTATTTAACGGAAATTCTAAAGAATCTGTACGCAATACATTAAAAATTAAAAATTTTACCGAAGACCGCGCGTAACGTTGTCTTTATATTCACGTTTTCGAACTAAACCGTTGCGTACGAAATTGTTTGATTTTATAGCGGCCGAAAAAAAAAAAACATGCAATTTTTCGTGATCTTGTTTATTTCTGATCTTTTGATCTAAAAAATAAAAAACTCACACACTTTGTTAAGAGAAAGAGTTGAACTGTTTATATCTATAAAACGTCCAGCAGAAGAGTCGCTTCTTTAGGAAATCTCATGAAAATTATCAAAATCTTATTGGAGGTGTTTTTTTCGTTTTCGTTAATGTCTTTATTGTCCATTGTTTGTAAACAACCATTGAGATGGAGCAGCATCGATATGGTCAGTCAATTTATGACTAGACACACTTGAATCTTTAAAATACGTCACGTTCTCTTATGCCTAAATGTTTCTCACACGCGTATTTTTGATATTACGCAGTAGTTTGATGGAATTAGTTCTTGAAATATATTTTAATTTGTTTATATCTATTAGATAATTTGGTCGATTAACTGAAGTTCGATAAATCTGTTAGTTTCATAGAACGAATAAACTCAGAAAATCTGTTTCAATTAAAAAACAAGTAAGAAATTATAGTCGGAAGAGGCCGACCATATAATACAAAATAAAAATGTTACAAAAATAAAATGTGATTTAGTTTTCATAATAAAGCATTTAAGTTGAATTGTACCTTGCCTTGAATTATACTTAAGCCATTTATTGTTGAACAAACATTTAAGTCAAATTTTGAAAGGGGATTTGTATAGGGGCTAGTATAGAACTTGGTATTGCAGTTCGAGATACGAGTATATTAAACATAATTATGAACCTAAAATCCCTATTCGTCGGGTTCAGTTGTATGGGGACTAGGTTAAATAATAGACCTATAGGCTTCGTCCCCGGTACCATAGAATAGGCTTCGTCCCCGGTACCATAGAAGATCATCTGTCAAATTTCATTGAATTACCTTCAAAATTGCGACCTGTAGTTTGATTACATGGTTTACAAGCCCTATTCGGGGGTTCTGCTGTATGGAGGCTAGGTGAGAAAATGGACCCATGTTCACCATTTTCAATAGGCTTTGTTTCCGATACCATAGAAGATCATGTGCCAAATTTAATTGAATTATCTTCAAAATTGTGACCTGTAGTTTGATTAATGGACCGATCTTAACCATTTTCAATAGGTTTCGTCCCTGGGACTATAGAAGATCATGTGCCAAATTTCATTGAATTATCTTCAAAATTGCGACCTGTAGTTTTATTACAAGGTTTACATGAACGGACGGACGGACGGACAGACAGACGGACGGCCATAGCAAAATCAACTCAGAAAATGATTCTAAGCCGATTGGTATACTTTTAGGTGGGTATAGGACCAATATTATTGTGCGTTACAAACATCAGCACAAACCCAATATACCCTCCCCACTAAAGTGGTGTAGGGTATAAATACTATCACACAGCAAACGAATTGCATATTTATATATCTTACCCATCAAAAACATGGAAACGACTCATACTTACTCCAGAGTTTACTTTTCAATGACTTCTACATACCTCCTGAATTACTTAGAAAGAACCTAGTAATGACTTACATATAACTATTTTGTTAGCGAATGTTTCTATCTATCTATCTATCTATCTATCTATCTATCTATCTATCTATCTATCTATCTATCTATCTATCTATCTATCTATCTATCTATCTATCTATCTATCTATCTATCTATCTATCTATCTATCTATCTATCTATCTATCTATCTATCTATCTATCTATCTATCTATCTATCTATCTATCTATCTATCTATCTATCTATCTATCTATCTATCTATCTATCTATCTATCTATCTATCTATCTATCTATCTATCTATCTATCTATCTATCTATCTATCTATCTATCTATCTATCTATCTATCTATCTATCTATCTATCTATCTATCTATCTATCTATCTATCTATCTATCTATCTATCTATCTATCTATCTATCTATCTATCTATCTATCTATCTATCTATCTATCTATCTATCTATCTATCTATCTATCTATCTATCTATCTATCTATCTATCTATCTATCTATCTATCTATCTATCTATCTATCTATCTATCTATCTATCTATCTATCTATCTATCTATCTATCTATCTATCTATCTATCTATCTATCTATCTATCTATCTATCTATCTATCTATCTATCTATCTATCTATCTATCTATCTATCTATCTATCTATCTATATCTATCTATCTATCTATCTATCTATCTATCTATCTATCTATCTATCTATCTATCTATCTATCTATCTATCTATCTATCTATCTATCTATCTATCTATCTATCTATCTATCTATCTATCTATCTATCTATCTATCTATCTATCTATCTATCTATCTATCTATCTATCTATCTATCTATCTATCTATCTATCGATCTATCTATCTATCTATCTATCTATCTATCTATCTATCTATCTATCTATCTATCTATCTATCTATCTATCTATCTATCTATCTATCTATCTATCTATCTATCTATCTATCTATCTAATCTATCTATCTATCTATCTATCTATCTATCTATCTATCTATCTATCTATCTATCTATCTATCTATCTATCTATCTATCTATATATCTTTCTTTCCATCAATATATTAAAGAACCCACTCATTATAAACTCTGACCTGTCGTCTCTATAAGTAGCTAACCAATTTGTTTTCTTGACCGGATACATTTTTGTTATTGTATGTAAATTTTGTCTCTCTTTTATTTAAATTTTGTTTTCGTTTTTATTTCTTCTTATAACTTTTTTTGCATTAACAAAACTGCAAATTCTTTTAACGTTCGCAGTCTATAAATTGTATTTTAAGTGACTGTTTTTTTTTTTGTTGCTCCAGAGCTCTTCTCAACCGGATTCTTTTTTCGGCTGGTGACTGACTTGATTATCTTAATAGTAGTAGTTACATCCACAAAATACACAATAACAACAATAAAAGAAAACGAGTTAATGCATGTATGTATCATCATCATCATCATGAAGATCTTTTAGTTTAGAGAATTGGGAATTTTGTATCTTAATTTGATTTTATTGCGGCTTTTATTTTTATAAATTGTATGGTCAAGGACGTGAATAAATTAAATAAATTTAACGCTAATATTCTCACTTGCATATGTTAATGCATTTAATATAGATTTTTACAATACTTCGGACTTGGGAGCAAATTTTGGAAGCAAAGAGATGTCATTGGAAGATTCCGAAGCATAGAGTTAAAGTCATCTAAGATGATAATTCGTCGCTTATTCTACTTAAATATTTTGCAGAAATGATATGTATATAGTAGTGCAATTACTAATTGATGTAATTCTATATATTTAACTGATTTTAATGAAAATTTCCTTAAGTGTTTGGGTATTTTATAAGATCAATCTCAGCCGAATATTAGCGGTCTGAGTTGTTTCATCTTGATTTATTATTTAGCTAGTAATTTTTAAACCATTTTAAGTGAATACATAATAAAATCTTTAATTTATGGCAAAAGTAATAAAAATTAAAGAATAATTTCACAAATATTCAATTAAAAGTTTAAAATATACAATAAAGATTCGACGCTTTGTTAACTATTCCTAAAACGGGTAAAAGAAGTAACCCTCGAAAAAAGGTCATCATCAATAACTTTTCTATAAAGAGATAAATAGTTTAGACCTTAAAGCTGGGTATCGTTTGTAACTGGACTTTTATCAGAATTTTTACATAATATTGAATGAAATCTTATACAAATAACTTCCTTAGAATTTGTTGTTATTTCATTAAATTTTATATTTAAAATATTTTTAATTACAAATTCGTGACTTTTAAAGGTTTAAATTATGAACTTTTTTAGTCACATAAAATATTTAAAATTTTTTCTAAAGAAAAATAAATCATAAAGCTTTTCTGCTTTTTTAAAAAACAATCGTATTTTTAGAATAATTATTAAGATGAATGATCTATTAAAATTAGGCGCCAAACGTAAAAAAATCACATTATGTATGAATACGAATAGACATGAATGAATGTATGTACATTAGGGTAGCATCAATATGGAAGTTTACTGATGTATCCAATAAAAATTTCGTTCATCTATCTATATACTCACTTACTGATTCATTGTCGCACAGAAATTTGCACAAAAAACAGCTGATTCGGTACTATCACACTTTAATATATAGTTGTCTAGTACTCTTTTAAAATTCGGACCTTTTATGGAGTAAATAGGTAAAAACTGTAATTTAGTACTTTTTAAACACCCTATGTATCTTTTGAACCAGTTATTCGGAAGTTAAAGGGTTCAAAGTTTTACCTTATTTGGTACTTTTTTGATCTTAAAAATACACTTTTTTAATATTCTATAATATTGAAATTAAACCTTGGGGTCTTGAGTGAATTAATGGTATTTTCTGGTACTTTTTCGTTTATCAACTGATACTTTTGTAATTTTCGATAATATTGAATTTAGAAACATAAAATTAAACATGTAGAGTCCTCAGTTTTATGGTACTTCTTCTGTTCTTCCACTGGTACTTTTTGAGTTTTCTACAATATGAAATCTAACAAGTTAGAGTGCTATATTCGGCTATGCCGAATCTTAAATACCCTCCACCAGTAAGCTGCTTTTTATTGAAACCCATCTAACTATTTAATTTTTAGATAACTTGCCAAAATTTTAGTCGAACTAATTTTGATTAGGTCCAGAAAAATTTATATTAATACGCCAGTTCGAAAACATTTTAATAGAATTATTTTTATTTGTGTCGCATTTTGTTAAGATAGCTTTACTTGACATTGAAATATGTGCTTTTAAGTTATTTTCGGAAGTTTGCCTTATATGGGAGCTATAACCAATAAGGGACCGATCCGTAAAAAAAATAGTGCAATGATTTGAATGCACACAAAACATATTTCTGTCGAATTTTATCCCGATAGCTTTAGAATTCAATGAAATATATGCGTTTAAGTGATTTTCGGAAGTGGACCTTATATGGGAGCTATGACCAATTATAGGCCTATCCGGAAAAAAATCGTAGAGTGATTCATGTTTAGGTAAAACATATTTGTTTCGAATTTTATCAATATAGCTTTGCTTAGCATTGAAATATGTGCTTTTAAGTGATTTTCGGAAGTGGGCCTTATATGGGATCTATGACCAATTATGGACCGATCCGTAAAAAATTTTGTAGAATGTTTTTAGAATGATACAAAACAGATTTGTGTCGAATTTTATCCCGATAGCTTTATAATTCAATGAAATATATGCGTTTAAGTGATTTTCGGATGTCGACCTTATATGGGAGCTATGACCAATTATGGGCCTATCCAGAAAAAATTTCGTAGAGTGATTTATATTTAGACTAAACATATTTGTGTCGAATTTCATCAGAATAGCTTTAGTTGACAATGAAATATGAGCTTTTAAATGATTTTCGGAAGTGGGCCTTATATGGAAGCTATGATCAATAATGGACCGATCCGTAAAAAAAAATTTTGTAGAATGATTTGTATGTATACAAAACATATCCTACTCGAATTTTATCCCAATAGTTTTATTCATCAATGAAATATGTATGTGCGTTTAGGTGATTTTCGGAAGTGGACCTTATATGGGAGCTATGACCAATTGTGGACCGACTGAGGTCTACGTTGACAGTATGATTTCTGTTCATATTATATTTACATGTACAAAATTTTGTGTTGATACCAATATATTTTAGGGAGTTATTAACGATAAAATAATTTCCGGGAATATATACCTTTGTATGGGGGCTATGGGAAATATTGGATCGATTGTAAAGATTTTGAGCATAATTTTGAGCACTGCCCTAAAAAAATAATGTGTGACAAAATTCATCGAAATATCTTTGGTAGTTTCTGAAAAAACTTCAAAAGAATTATGAAAAAAAACGTAATTTTTTTCGAGGTAGTCTGAAATTTTTACTCATAACTTTTTATGTTGTGAACCGATTTTGCTGATTTTCAATACCAAACTGCTTAGGATAATAATAAATATTTTGGGTGAATTTGGTTGATTTCCTTTGCTTAGTTTTAACGTGAGCGTGTTTTACACAGACAGACAGACAGACGGACAGACGGACATAGCTAAATCGACTCAGAATTTGATAAGGACCCAGAATATATACTTTGTTGGGTCTTAGATGAATATTTCTTGGTGTTACACACGGAACGACAAACTTATATATACCCTCTATCACCACTGATGGTGGTGGAGGGTATAAAAACATGAAATTTAGCAAGTAAAGCCCGAATTAAAAGAAAATCTATAGAAAGGGGCTTTTTCTATAATATTGAACCAAGAACAGCTTACCAGTTGAATGAAAATTATAAAAAGGGTCTTTTAGGTACTTTTTGAATTTCATATTAGTCCTTTAAATGAAACATGAAAAAATTAAAAAAGTAACTTTTTATCCTTTGAACCAGCTCACCAAATATTGACTCCAGAACAAATTTTCTGAGAAACGGTATATTAAAATGAAACAAGCTTTTATTTTCGGTGGGAACATCAATACAAACGTTATCGCCCTAATGTACATAAACAAGGTAAATATTAATTATTATTTTAACAAAAATCCCCCAACAATTCTTAAGAAAATAATATATTCACTTAAAAATTCGCAGAAAATGTACAAATTACACCAAAAAAAAGATGCATCATTATGTTTATAATGCGGAGAAAATGAGACATCTATATGTCAGAATTTGAACAGCACTAAAAGTAATACCAAGTTTCTTAATGTGTATAGCAAAGTAATAGCAATTAATAGCAAAGTATAGTAATACCAAGTTTGTTAATGTAAACAGCAAAGACAACAACCTTCAGTAGTGCGTTAAAAAAAATTGACAGTTAATTTCCAATGACATTAAACGTTGCCATAGCAACCGTTGTTTTGGCAATTAGAAATAAAAAGAAATTATTTTAATTTCTGCAGCTGTCCGAGTATTATACATTAATAATTAGTAAACAATTAGTAAATAAACAATGTTTCGTCGTGGTAAATTGGCATTTTTAAATACCAAAGATGATCGTATTAAAATTATTAACGAACGCATTAATTTAACCGAAAAACATTTAATAGAAATGTGTTCGACTTTTTCCGCCTGCACCAGGAAGTTGGCTAAGTAAGTGAAAAATTTGCCAAATAAAGAAGTGGCACCATTTAGGGAAAGTGTGGAAATGAATAGATAATAGTCTTCGAACCTAAAAAAAGATCCAGAATAGATAAACTTTTTTCTTTGTTTCTAATATTTCTCAGATTTCGTGATTCTTATGACGAACTATCGAAATGCTTAAAACACTATTCGGATGATGAGGAAATCAATGAAAGTTTAAGTGATGGTTTGAAAAATTTCACTAACGCTGTCACTATTTTGGCTGATTATATGGATTTGAATGTTCATCGTATGGAATTGAAGGTGAGTGTTTTTTAATTGTGGGAAAAAAAAATTGCTAATTTTATATTTCTTTTCCAGATTGTTAATGAATTGGCACAATTTGATACTTTATGTAAAACTACCAGGGATAATTTACGTACAGCTGTTAGCTCGTGATAAAGAGGTCTTAAAGCAGCGTCAAATGTTGGAATTGAAAACGAAATTTTCGGCTAATAATGTAAGTTTTTTAAGAGAGCAAGTCAATAGACTGGTCATGAATTCAGACTTGTTCAAAGTCTGGTATAAAATTTGTGCATTTATTCATACCTTCTTTTATATAAGAAGTTGGAGACCCAAAAAAATAGTTAAAATCTGAACTAATATTTGGTCTTCACCAGTAAAAAACATAATCTCATAACGAGGTATAAAGTAAAATAGAAGTCCATCTTAATAGTGCAAATCACTTTTGAGCAAAAACTTTATTGATCTATTAAGATCCTCAATTATGTACTTCTATCTAACTATCTATCTATCTATCTATCTATCTATCTATCTATCTATCTATCTATCTATCTATCTATCTATCTATCTATCTATCTATCTATCTATCTATCTATATATCTCTATCTATCTATCTATCTATCTATCTATCTATCTATCTATCTATCTATCTATCTATCTATCTATCTATCTATCTATCTATCTATCTATCTATCTATCTATCTATCTATCTATCTATCTATCTATCTATCTATCTATCTATCTATCTATCTATCTATCTATCTATCTATCTGTCTATCTATCTACCTATCTATCTATCTATCTATCTATCTATCTATCTATCTATCTATCTATCTATCTATCTATCTATCTATCTATCTATCTATCTATATATCTATCTATCTATATATCTATCTATCTATCTATCTATCTATCTATCTATCTATCTATCTATCTATATATCTATCTATCTATATATCTATCTATCTATCTATCTATCTATCTATCTATCTATCTCTATCTATCTATCTATCTATCTATCTATCTATCTATCTATCTATCTATCTATCTATCTATCTATCTATCTATCTATCTATCTATCTATCTATCTATCTATCTATCTATCTATCTATCTATCTATCTATCTATCTACTATCTATCTATCTATCTATCTATCTATCTATCTATCTATCTATCTATCTATCTATCTATCTATCTATCTATCTATCTATCTATCTATCTATCTATCTATTAATTTAATTTAATTCGAAATTCCTACAACTCACTTACAGTCCGCTGCCGATTCGGAATTGCTAAAAGCTAAAATGGAAGTAAGTCGTACGAATAAAGAAATCGATGAAATTATAAGCAATTTCGAGAAGCGTAAACTGAATGATATTAAAAGCATACTAGTAGATTTCATTTTAATCTCCATGAAATATCATACAAAATCTTTGGAAGCTTTATCGGCCAGTTATTATGATGTAACAAATATCGATGAAAGGGGAGATTTTATGGAATTTCAAAAACTAATGAAATCGAAAAGTGAGGCACAAGAAAAGAAATCCAATAAAAAGGCGGGCCAGTTTGAGGTCACAGTCAATGGAAAGTTTGGAAAGAGATCAACTATTAAGTCCTTTAAAAAGGAAGGGTAGAATAAGTAAATCTACTAAAAATTTGGCAGAAAATAAAACCGATGAAGAAGACGAAGATGATGAGGATGAAGACGGCGAAGAAGAAGAGGAGGATGATGACGACGACGAAGAAGATGATGAGGAGGAGGTAATATAAAATGTAGTTGTTGTAGTTGATAATATAGTGGATAAAACTCTAAGTGTTTTGAAATCTAACTTTTATGGCTTTCTCTATTGTTGACAGGATGACAGCGAAAATTCCAAGTCTGAAGAGGACTCAATTACCGAAGCCGAAGATGTGGGCGAGGCAAATGCTTTGGATACTGCCTCTAATTTAAAGGCAAATAAATTGAATTTTAAGAAACCTTTAACCAAACCCCAAGTAAAGCATCCCTTTAAAGCGGTGGCGGCTACACATGTAAGATTGCAAAAGCAATTGCATGTGCAGTCTTAAAACTACATTTTTTAAATTTTTTACTTAATTTACATATTTTTACAAAAGTCAGTATATATACACTTACTGTAACAATTAAGGAGACACTAGTTAACAATAAATTGGTTTTAATATTATGCACCCACAGCGACCACCCTCCTCATACGGAGCACCAAGCAACACAGGTGCAAGCAATATCATCTGCATGACAACATTGAGTTAATTGAACAAACAATGTTAGTTTTTTTTTCATAAAAGCACTTTGATTAATTGCCAGTTGCTATTGTTTAACTTGTATTATTGATAGCTATGTTTTTCTGCAAGCCCAACCCTCTTTTTTTCATAACTTTTATTATTTATTTCAAAGAGGGTGTAGTAATGAATTTATATAAAACTATTTTATATGTACAGGTTCTTAAGAAATCATCTAAACAGGGAAAAAATGCCTTTGTAACAAAACGGTTATCAGGCTCCAGCGCTACGGGTATACCACGCTTAGTTACCGCCACTAAGCGTCATGACAGCAAATCTACTGAAGATATTGAAGGTGGTAGCAATAATAATGCAGGTGGGTTTAGCAGTCGTCGCCTGGTAACAGTTGTTGAATCGAAGAAGAAATCAAGCGTTGTAGATGATAATAAAACCGATAAAGTAATTGATTGTACGCGTAATTTTAGAAATTAAGATTTGTTGATTTCTTATAAACAAAAATAAATAAATGACTAATAAAATTTAATTTAGAATATGTGACTTTATGTTTTCTCTAACTAAAAGAAAATTTAATTTATGAATCATTTTTAACACTTTTTAACTTAAAAACTTACTTTCTTTTTTATTATTACTTTTCACTATAATTAAATTGATTTTATAAATAATTACAAAAGAATTTTAAAAATTAACAAGAAAAAAAAACTAAAAAATGGATTTTATAATAAAAAATTATTGTAAATTACATATTTGTTTTGTTTTTTCTTTATTTAAAAAAGATCTTAGGGTTGATTTTTTTACTTAATAATAAAAATACCTTTAATATGTAAAAGATCAGAAAGGAGGAGGAAGTAGAAAATATTAAGGCTCAATAATGTTCCAGGAAAATTTAATAATGGCAATCAATGGGTGCTGGGGAAGTAGTTGATAAGTATTTAACTCTATTCCATTCGGGTATTTATAGTAAATATGTTTCTGGTTGCTAGTTAGTCGAGAATGTTTTATGTGTATTTGTTGAGAAAGTGTTTTGATATTATTTTGATGTTTAGCTTAATATTAAAAAATTGAGCATACTCTCGTTACGGCCGACATATTAAACTCAATTACTTTTCGGGACCCTCAACACCAGCTTGATTCATTAGATCGGCAATACTTTTTTCCAAATCATCTATTCGATTGCCCATATCATCGATGCGTGTTATAATTTGATCGGACATTGTTTGAAATTTATCTTGGACATTTTGTAGCAGACTTTGTACCTGAAAGAAATTGAATAGAAATATTTGTGAGAAATAATTTTTGAGAAATTTTTAAATTTTATAGAAAGTTTTTTAAAAATGTTCGATATGTTTTTAATTTTTTATAGAAATTTTCCTCTTTTATTTTGATAAAATCGTTACTTTTATATAAAATTTTAGATAAATTTTCTACTTTTGTAGAAAATTTTCAAGTTTTATTGAAAGTTGTTTTAAATTTTCTTCTTTTATAGAAAATTTTCTATAAATATTCTTCTTTTAAAGAAAACTTTCCACAAGTTTTTTACTTTTAAAGAAAATTTTCGATAAATTTTCTTCTTTTATAGAAAATTTTAGATAAATTTTCTTCTTTTATAGACAATTTTCGATAAATTTTCTTCTTTTATAGAAAATTTTCGATAAATTTTCTTCTTTTATAGAAAATTTTCGATAAATTTTCTTCTTTTATAGAAAATTTTCGATAAATTTTCTTCTTTTATAGACAATTTTCGATAAATTTTCTTCTTTTATAGACAATTTTCGATAAATTTTCTTCTTTTATAGACAATTTTCGATAAATTTTCTTCTTTTATAGACAATTTTCGATAAATTTTCTTCTTTTATAGAAAATTTTCGATAAATTTTCTTCTTTTATAGAAAATTTTCGAAAAATTTTCTTCTTTTATAGAAAATTTTCGATAAATTTTCTTCTTTTATAGAAAATTTTCGATAAATTTTCTTCTTTTATAGAAAATTTTCGATAAATTTTCTTCTTTTATAGAAAATTTTCGATAAATTTTCTTCTTTTATAGAAAATTTTCGATAAATTTTCTTCTTTTATAGAAAATTTTCGATAAATTTTCTTCTTTTATAGAAAATTTTCGATAAATTTTCTTCTTTTATAGAAAATTTTCGATAAATTTTCTTCTTTTATAGAAAATTTTCGATAAATTTTCTTCTTTTATAGAAAATTTTCGATAAATTTTCTCCTTTTATAGACAATTTTCGATAAATTTTCTTCTTTTATAGAAAATTTTCTATAAATTTCTTCTTTTATAGAAAATTTTCTATAAATTTCTTCTTTTATAGAAAATTTTCTATAAATTTCTTCTTTTATAGAAAATTTTCTATAAATTTCTTCTTTTATAGAAAATTTTCGATAAATTTCTTTTTTTATAGAAAATTTTCGATAGATTTCTTCTTTTATAGAAAATTTTAGATTAATTTTCTACATTTATAAAAAATTTTCGATAAATTATCTACTTTTATAGAAAATTTTCGATAAATTTTCTTCTTTTATAGAAAATTTTCGATAATTTTCTTCTTTTATAAAAAATTTTCGATAATTTTCTTCTTTTATAGAAAATTTTCTATAAATTTCTTCTTTTATAGAAAATTTTCTATAAATTTCTTCTTTTATAGAAAATTTTCGATAAATTTCTTTTTTTATAGAAAATTTTCGATAGATTTCTTTTTTTATAGAAAATTTTCGATAGATTTCTTCTTTTATAGAAAATTTTCGATAATTTTCTTCCTTTATAGAAAATTTTCGATAATTTTCTTTTTTATAGAACATTTTTAATAATCTTTTTCTTTTCTTCAAAATTTTCGATAATTTTTCTACTTTTATAGTAAATTGTCGGTAAAATTTCTACTAATATAGAAAATTTTTGATGATTTTTTCATTTAAAGAAATTATCTATTTTTCAAAAATTTTTACAAAATTCTATTTTATAGAAAATTTTCGCTAAACTCTCCACTTCTAGAGCATTTTCGATATAAATATTTATACCCTACACCACCTTAGTGGGGAGGGTATATTGGGTTTGTGCTGATGTTTGTAACGCACAATAATATTGGTCCTATACCCACCTTAAAGTATACCAATCGGCTCAGAATCATTTTCTGAGTCGATTTAGCTATGTCCGTCCGTCTGTCCGTCCGTCCGTCCATGTAAACCTTGTAATCAAACTACAGGTCGCAATTTTGAAGATAATTTAATGAAATTTGGTACATGATCTTCTATTGTCCCAGGGACGAAGCCTATTGAAAATGGTTAACATCGGTCCATTATTTCACCTAGCCCCCATACAACTGAACCCCTCGAATAGGGTTTTTGAAACTTGTAATCAAACTACAGGTCGCAATTTGGAGATAATTCAATGAAATTTGGCACATGATCTTTTATGGTACCGTAGATGAAGCCTGTTGAAAATGGTTTACATCGGTCCATTATTTCACCTAGCCCCCATACAACTGAACACCTCGAATAGGGCTTTTAAAACTTGTAATCAAACTACAGGTCGCAATTTTGGAGATAATTCAATGAAATTTGGCACATGATCTTTTATGGTATCGTAGACGAAGCCTATTGAAAATGGTTAACATTGGTCCATAATTTCACCTAGCCCCCATACAACTGAACCCCTCGAATAGGGCTTTTAAAACTTGTAATCAAACTATAGGTCGCAATTTTGGAGATAATTCAATGAAATTTGGCACATGATCTTTTATGGTACCGTAGATGAAGCCTGTTGAAAATGGTTTACATCGGTCCATTATTTCACCTAGCCCCCATACAAGTGAATCCGCCGAATAGGGCTTTTAAGTTCATAATTATGTTTAATATACTCATATCTCGACAAAAAGCTGCAATAACCAAGTTGTATACAAGACTTGATGACCCCCACGAATTCCATAATAATAGGTTCGCATATGACCCTAGCCCCTATGAAAAGCCCCCATCAAAATTTCACTTAAATGTCCACAATTTTATTCAACAATAAACGGCTTAAGTATGTATATCTAAGGCAAGGTACAATTCAACTTAAATGCTTTATTATGGCAACTAAATCACATTATATTTTTGTCAAAGGTGTAGTGTATTATATGGTCGGCCTCGCCCGACTATAATTTCTTACTTGTTTTCATTTAAATATGACTTCCAATGAATTCTCAATTTGTTAAGGAATTCTGACAATTTGTCCAGTTAAGGAGGACTTTCGATGATTTCTCTATTTTTTTAAGATTTTGAATAAATTCTCCAATAGAAAATGATTTCTGACAAATTCCCTATGTAAAGATTTTCGATTCTTTGATTGTAGAGGATTTTCGAAAAGTCCTCTATATAGAATTTCGATGACTTTCTTCAATGAGTTTTCTATGAAGTTTTGAATTTTTAATGAATATATGAAACATTTTATACAATAAACGATAAAACGGAAGATGATAGCATTTAAAATTTACGATATTTGAAATTAAAGTAACAAATTATTAGTTTTTATTGAATAAATTACACGATAAGAAAGCCCTAGGATATATAAAGGTCTTTAGTTGAGCTACCTGGACCGGATTGAACTAATTCTTTCAAATTATAATAACATTTTAAAAAGATCTCTATTTGCATCGATTTTTTTTTGGAAATTTAGTAATTTTTTTTATTTTTAAACGATTTTTGAAAAATTTACCGATCGGAATTTTATCAAATCTATTCCAGTTTTGATAATCCGATAATTTCAATTTGAACTTCTGTATTTATAATCTGATTTAAATGTTCTGTAGGGATAGATACTACATTAATTAATTTTATAGTCTAGAAGTAAGTTCTTGTACAACAATATTGTAAATCGAATATTATTGGGAATGTAAAGAAACTCGTCAAATTTTAAACTCTATTAACAACATATTACACCCACTAAATATGAATTTTAATTTTTATATTAATAGTTTTTTAACACTTCATTAACATTGCACAATTAACACAACATGTTTCCGCCCTTTAATAAGCAGTTTTTGTCTGGACTCAAATTACAAAGCTGAACACACAACCACATATGGCCCAACAATTCCACCCACTCCCCTATATCACAAACAAAACAAAATTATTCTAATTAATAAAGAAAAACAATTTGTGTTATTCAATAAACAACAAATATCCATAGCTTCTATATTATTACAACTTCTATTAACAAATAATAAATTAAATAAATAATTAAAAAGTCAATTTGCAACTCACATAAATTGTCAATTCCTGCATATTCTTTGGGTCTGCATTGCTGTTAAGCGAATAATTTTGATCCAAATCGCTGTCCATTTCATTTTTCATGTCAGTCATTTTGTTTATTTAGTTATTAGTTCTTTTGTTATAAAAATACAAAATTTATTTTGTTATTAAATTATTTTTCAGCTTAATTTTTTGCAAAAAAACAAAAAGTTATATTTTTTTGCTGTTTGTCTTTTAATATTTTATATGCACACAACAACAAAATATACACGTCCAGACACAATGAGAGTAAAATTTATTCTGACAGCTGTTGGAAAAGAGAGCGATAGATAGCAAATCAAACAAACAGAGTTGTTTTATGTGGGAACTAAGTAAATTGCCCTGTTGACAGGGTAACACATGGTGATAAATATATGTAAGTTGCTATGAGTAACGTTTTGTTTGTTTTTAATAATAAAAATAAGTAAATGAAGTGTAAAATTTAAAGAAAATGTAAATTTTTAAACTCGTTGCTATGATTACAAATAATTATCATAAGTTTTTTTTATAACAATAATCAAAAGATATAATAAATGGCTAAACCTAGAATCATGAAATTTTGACAGTATATAGATGTATATTTATTTATGAGGATCTATTATTCCTTTTTCACTCAAAAACCATTTACAGAGAATTTTATATAATTTTTTTATTTAATTGCAACAATTATAATAAGTGCTCCATTTAAATTGACTTTCGAAAAATATGATTCCTTGGAAATATTATATAAAAATCCATTGCAAATCACAAATATTCCTCTCCTCCACCAATTCATTAACAAGAAACTATTTTATTTGAATTACCCGGTTTGTAAAGTGTTATGAAAGAAAATAAATTGATTCATCTCAGACAACAACCGTTACCTTTTTGGTACCAAGTGTAAGTATGTACTAAAATGCCGTGCTGCCAGGTAGTATAAAAAATTCTACAAATATTTTATTAAAGTTTTATTAAAATTCATAACAATAAATTTTAATTGAATCACCCGTTTTTTCAATTACATATGTTTAAAAGAAACATAATATGAATCACCTTATGCTATGTTTGCACTGAGACGTTTTGAGCAAATCTAGTGGATTTGGGCAAAACTAGTTGAAATCATGTAGATTTGCCATACATTTTTGACAAATCCAAATCTACTTAATCTACTAGATTTGATTTAAAACATGTCGAAAATGTATTTTTTCGAACAAGATTTGCTAATACAACACTGCATTGTGCCTAGGATAAGCAAATACAACTAGAGGCTATCCATTCAAGTTGAATGTTTAAATCGAAAAAGTGATAGGGTTCTACAAATCGACTTTCGAATAATCGAACAATCGACTTTTTGTCGAAAAAAGTCGAAGTCGACTATTTTGTTCCAAAAAATGCGATAACTCGACTACGTATGTGAAAAAAGTCGAAAAGTCGACTTTGTTAATAAAAGTCGAAATGTCTGAAAGTCGAATAAAGTCGAAAAAAGTCGAAAAAAGTCGAAAAGTAGTAAAAAGTCGGAAAAAGTCAGAAAAAGTCGAAAACTTAAAAATTGTAAAAAAAAGTCAAAAATAGTCGAAAATTTTAAAAAAGTGGAAAAAAGTCAAAAACTCTAAAAAAGTCGGAAAAACTCGAAAAAAATCAAAAAATAGTACAAGAAAAGTCGAAAGAAGTCGAAAATAGTCAAAAGTCGAAAAAAATCGAAAAGTCGGAAAAAGTAGAAAAAAGTCGAAAAGTCGACTATTTATAAAATACTTATGTCGAAAAGTCTAAAAGTCGACTTTTAATTAAATGAAAAAAGTCGAAAAATCGACTTTTCATAAAATGCAAAAAGTCAAAAAGTCGACTTTTAACTAAATGAAAAAAGTCGACTTTTCGTTTCAACTATAGAACCCTAAAAAGTGACTTTTCATTTCGAAATAATAACAAAAACAAATTCAAATTTTAAAATAAGTGGTTTTTAATAAACAAATTTAAAAAAGTCGAAAACTCAAAAATTGTAGAAAAAAAGTCAAAAATAGTCGAAAATTTTAAAAAAGTGGAAAAAAAGTCAAAAACTCTAAAATAGTCGGAAAAACTCGAAAAAAATCAAAAAGTAGTCGAAAAAAAGTCGAAAGAAGTCGAAAATAGTCAAAAGTCGAAAAAAAATCGAAAAGTCGGAAAAAGTCGAAAAGTCGAATAAAGTCGGAAAAAGTCGAAAAACGTCGAAAAAGTCTAAAAAAGTCAAAAAAAGTCAAAAAGTCGAATAAAGTCGAAAAAAGTCGAAAAGTCGAAAAGTCGACTATTTATAAAATACTTATAGTCGAAAAGTCGAAAAATCGACTTTTCATAAAATGCAAAAAGTCGAGAAGTCTACTTTTAACTAAATGAAAAAAGTCGAAAAGTCGACTTTTCGTTTCAACTATAGAACCCTAAAAAGTGACTTTTCATTTCGAAATAAAAACAAAACAAATTAAAATTTTAAAATTAGTGGCATTTAATAAACAAATTTATACCTTTACAACGGTAATTTTGTATTTTTTTTTTTGCTTAAAATTGAAGGAAATTAACATTACTGTCATTATATTAAAATAAAATGACGGGATTTGTTCTCAAATTCGAATATCAAAAATGAGTAAGCTTAGTCGAAACACCTTGAAGAGGTTTACGCAAATCTAGTAGATTTCAAGCCAGTGGAAACATAGCACATATTAGATAACAACCACTACATTAGTAGCACTAAAATCAGTGTAGCCAAGTATTAGAAAATGTTATTAACCCTGTCTTCCTACCTAAGAAGCAGGGTTCAATGAACTCAGAAATTTTGATGCTGCTTGTGAAAAGATAGATTTCTGTCTTCGCTGGGTTAATATTCCACTCGGTAGAGTTGAGCTTAAGGTCGTACTTAGGTCCACTCTTCCTCATAAGTAGGTACATAATATTCTCCTTAGAAGTAAGTTTACAAAAAATTTCTCAGAAGTCTCATTGGACTAGCTCGAATGAATTCCTTATACTGTGATCTACTTGCAGCGTATCCATTTGAAGAGTTTGCGAAATGTAAGACTTACTAAAACTATTTTCAATGGCTCGATTTCCTAGGAATTTTGAATAACTATATTTTATTTATCTTCCAATGACTATTATGAAGGATAAGAAATTTAATAAAAACAGATAACCAATTGTTGGGGTCAACAGTTCTGGTATTACATACAATGTTTGAGGTCCATATTATTGTGGCTACATCGGGTTAGAAGTGTTGAGTGTCACCTTTATATAATCAGATTGTTATCTAGCCTAAAATAGAATTATTATTTTTAATATACATATGTATGTATGTATATATTAATGTTAAGTAGTTGGTTCCTTGTTTAAAACTCCATAAAATAAACAAAGTACATATGTACATATATATGAACTCGTGAAAACTATAAATGCTCTACATAAAATTAAATTATTTTCATTTATATACATATACTAGCTATACCCAGTGTGCTTTGCTAACCTAAAAGCAATATAAATAAAAAATCTTCTTAATAATTTTGAAGATTCTAACTGTAATGTTTTCCAGAGATGCATTTTTTCGGAACGTTAATTAAGATTTTAATGTAATCGATGACAAATTAAAAAAAAATCTAATATTTTCCCAGATATACGAAATTTTGTATTTACTTCATATAGGGGGTGCCAAGACCCCATTGAAAGTCCGCCCGTTATTCTCTAAATGTTCACATTAATGTCTTCAAGATCTTCATGTAGAATTTGAAGATTCTAGCTCTAATAGTTTCTCAGATATACGAATTTTTCTATTTAATTCATATGGGAACTCACAGCTCCCAGATGAAAGTCCGCCCTTTTTTTCACCAAAATGTTCATATGTATAATAAAGTTCTTCTTGCAATATTTGAAGAATCTTGTTCTATTAGTTTCTCAGATAAGCGAAATTTTGTATTTAATTCATATGTGACGTGCCAAGCCCCCCATTGAAAGTCCGCCCGTTATTCTCTGAATGTTCTCATGAATGTCAAAGTTCTTCAATTAAAATTTGAAGATTCTAGCTCTAATAATTTCTCAGATATAATATTTTCCTATTTAATTTATATGGGGGCTCCAAGCCCCCCATGACGAAAGTCCGCTCTTTTTTCTCCAAAATGTTCATATGAATATTTAAGTTCTTAGTGCAAAATTTGAAGAATTTAGTTCTATTAGTTTCCCAGATAAACCAATTTTTGTATTTTATTAATATGGGAGGTGCTGCTCCCCTCATGGGTAGTCCGCCAATTTATTTCCCAAAATGTTTACATGGATGTTAAAGTTACTCGTGCAAATTTTTAATATTCTAACTATAATAGTTTCCAAAATAAACGAATTTTTGTATTTAATTTATATGGGAGGTACCACGCCCCCTAATGCTAATCCGCCCACTTTTTGTTTTAAATAATTATATTGATACTAAAGTTGCTCCGACAAAATTTGAAGACTCTAACTATTATCTCAGATATACTAATTTAATATTTTCTTAATATGGGCGTGGCACGTCGCCCACATGAAATTTCAACATAAAAAGTAGCCTATAGTTCCTTTCAGACATACAGGAAGAAACTGAAAATTTCAGGAAAATCGGTCCAGCCGTTTAGCAGTCTATAAAGCACAAACATACATACAAACACACTTTCATTTTTATATACATATATAGATGTACATATGTATTTTTGTATGGTTGTATGTATTCATTTACATTTGCCCTATAACTTTGCTTTTAGTTTTATCTTATAGAAAACGTTTTTGCCATTTTCATAATCCTTATTCCCCGCAGTAATGATTATGTTTGTTTCAAGCACAACAAATAACTTTCAGTTTTAGTTGCAACCACGTTCACATTAAGTTTAATTATTTTATTTATCCTGAAAAAAAAAAACCAATAACAACTACAACAAAAATCTAAAAAGGTGTACGTGTAAATACCGAGAATCTAAATTATGCTCACAGTGTAGTAGTACATTTGAAAATTATGCACTTGACACTCATTAAAACTTAATAAAGTTCATCATCAAATGTTCAAACACACATGATGCTTAGATTTGGGGGGGAAAACAAAATTAAAACTCTGTTGTAAATTTTAAAATGTTTTTTTTTTTCAGTTCTTTGTTTGTGTTTTTTTTTTTTTGGCCTCGTTTTCCTCTAAAGCTCTTTTATGAAGGTACATCATGCAATTTTCGAAATTATCTACTACTACTAAATGGTGGTTTAGAAAAGGGTTAGGTAAAACAAGTTAGATTGCTATATTCGGCTATGCCGAGTCTTA